CCATCTAAGTAGAGACCAGTACTGCTTAACCTGGTGCTCCAATATGATTATTGTAAGTCATTTTTATTTACTGATTAGAGGAAGACTTTTAACTAAGCAACTATTTGACCCCTTTATTTCTTTAGCTATAATCATTAGTTCAAACACATCTGTTTCTTTACTTAGTGCAGTTTAATTATACTCACAAAACGTAAACACTTTTATTTACCAAGGGTCCATAATTAAGTCAAATCTATTAAAGATATAGTCAACTTTGAAAATAGAAGTGTAGATGGAAGTATAATTCACCAGTCGGCTAACTCTTTCCCTTTGTGTGGGCATGTGGTTTCTAGTTATTGCTGGGCCATTTATATTGTTAGAATTCTGCTTCATCCTTTTTAATCCTGCCTGGCCTCCTAAGACCACTGAGACTCCCACGTACGATTGGATTCTCTTCAGTGTTTCATTCATAAAGACCTGCCCTGTTGTGTTTTAAGAAAATAAACAGGCCAGCAGAGCACTACCAGGACTGAAAAGCCTATTTCTGTTTTGCTTTATTTTGATCAACTTTGAACAGCAAATGTTACCAAGGGAAATGCTCCACTTTGGTCTGAGCTGCTTGTGCTGGGAATTTTTTCATCCAGTGGCACCTCTCTTTCCCCTGATCCTGGCTCTGTGGCTCAGTTTACAAATCAGTGTATGTTCATGTTGTATTTACTTGAATGCTAATGAAGGACACTTGTTTTTTAAAACAGGGAGCTAATTTGTATAATTTATTCCTGTGCAGTTTTACAACCATAATGCAGTCTTCCTTTTTTCTTAACCTTTTTGGATTTAATTTGATTAGCAATAACCAGTATTAAGAAGGGCACTGCTTTTAATGCATCATCTTTTGATTCTTTTCTCAGTATGGTGGAGTGAAGCTTCCTTATTTCTGACAGTTGTTGAGATGCATGTCAGGGCTGGGGGAACTCACACTTTCCACCGAATTTATAATCAACACATTCTTATCCTGAGGACTAGAGTTGAAGTATCTATTTCCTGCGCTTCTCTTCAAGGATTTAACTATAAAAGCAACTTCTCCTTCAAAGCCCTTATCATTTTCCAACTCCCCTTGCATCTGCTTGACAGCCTCAGTGTGCAGTCAGTACTTTCGTGGCTGCATTCGTAGATTTATGCCTCTGAATTGGCTGAGGTGTCATCTGACGATTAGTCTTATGGTAATTACGGAGGGCATATTTGCAGCGTGTTTATTCCTTTCCTCAGCTCACTTGGATTCACACTGATTTTGTTTAGTCAATGATCTGACAGATTGCCCTTGGTATTTTTTTCTTTTAATTGTACCTGTGCTTATCTCTCTGTCACAGATCACCTTAAGAACTCAGAGTGAGAGTTTTGCATTTCTCTTGACTGAGATCAGCTTTTCCTTGACAAGTCCAAAAGTCCAGATAAGTATCTTGCTTCCAAGCTATTCTGAATTCTGAATTCCGTAGGTATGAGAGGGAGGGCTCGTGAGTATCACTTAAAACCTTTCTATAGACAGTTATTCTCTGGTCTCCTCGTCTTCAGAGTTCACTCTTTCCCAGGCTTGGTTAAGCCTAAACAGTTCCCTAACTGGTTAAGTATGTCTCCTGTGGATTCTCATCATCCACTTTAACAATCTTTCAAGGATGGATTTTTGGCCAAGTCTAGTATCTTAAAAGGCAAACCAAGGAAACAGTTTTAAGTTCATATTTGACCCGAAAAACCAGTTTCCCCATGATTAGGGTGTATTTAGACAAACTGGGTTATATTCTTGGTTATATCTACTGGTAAACTCAGCATTTTCTTTTCATCTTCAAGCATTTTCTTTGTCATTATGTTGCTATTATTTTGCTTTGTTACCAAACTCTCCTTTGAGAATTTTATTAAAATACACTCTAGTTTATCATGGACAAAAAATTCTGCTTCATGATGTAGCCTATTTAGCTGATGACACTGGAGGAATTATGATGTTCCTCAGCTCTGGGCATGCCTTGTACGTTGAGGTTGTTTCTATAGTTCATGAAGGTGGCCACCTCTTTGGCTTGCTCCTGGTGCAGAGAAGGGTTAACATAGCAAGTCTGAGACTGCTCTCTGTAGATAGGTCTGCTTGCCAGGCTGGCGTTGGCCGGTGTCTGGGAGTGTGACTCGTAAATCATCCCCTATACTAATATAAACCCTTCGTTAAATGATAAGGGTGTCTCACTGTACCTAAACTGTTCATACAAGCAATGTGGTTTGTGCTGCACACCTGTTTTCCTTCTGAGAGTCTGGAATTTTGGCATGTGCCAGGCAGATGGTGCCTGCCTCACCAGCCCCAGTAGAAACCCTGGGCACTGAGTCTCCAATGAATTTCCCTGGGTAGCAACATAGGTTGCTGCAATTTTTTTTTGCTGGGGGAAAAGTGTGCTTTGGTTGACTCCTCAAGGGAGAGGAAAAGCATAAGGAAAGCTGCATGTGGATTCTTCAGACCAGCCTGTGTCTTTTCCCCTTATGATCCCACTGTGTCTCTTTACTACACTGCTGTCATAAATCTTAGCTGTCAGGACAACTATATTCTGTGCCCCAGGAGCCCTTCTAAGAAACCTCTGAATGTGGGGGTGGTCTTGGGAACCCTTGACTGCCCCGCATTAGTCACTCTGACATTCCAGAATTGTTATTTGATGGCAGTATCCTCAAAGATGCTGACCCAATCCCTAACCTTCTTTGTTTCTCATGCATAACCAAGCATCTTTCAGCTTATATTCTCCTGAAGAACTTATGTGTACTTAGTTTATGACTATTCTTTTACTTCTCTAAAGGAGATTGCTCTACCCTATTAAATTCTTTCTTTTGTGACATCATCTCTAATGTTATTTTATAGTCAAAACCACATCACTCTTGTAACAGAAGTAGCTGACAAGTTCTAACATTACCAGCAAGTATGATTTAATGTTACATTTTAGAAGAGTATATCTAGAAGAAATTCTGTAAGACTGCTGTAATTAACAATGTTGACAATTGGCTCCTCAAAAGTGTGCCCATATATGTAAAAAACTCTGTGTTGTTTAACTTGAGAATTTTTCCTTAACCAGATATTGTTGGATCATGCTAAGAATTAATGAAATATGGGGCCGGCCCGGTGGCGCACTGCTACAGTGTGCCGCTTGGGAAGTGCAGCGGCGCTCCCGCCGAGGGTTCGGATCCCACATGCAGACCGGCCGCTCACTGGCTGAGCGAGGAGCGGGGGCAACACCGAGGGTTGCGATCCCGTTGCCGGTCCCGGTCCGGTACGGGCGCGACACTGAGGGTTGTGATCCGTTGCCGGTCATGAAAAAAAAAAAAAAAAGAATTAATGAAATAATGTGGATGTGATCTTGAATTTTTGTCTTGTTCAAAAACATGTTTTTATTTTTTCTTTAAGATGATTTGGGGGGGGCTTCATACTTATGCACTGGAGTTTGAGTTATGCCACAGGCTGGTCAACTGTATCACTACCGACAAGCAGCTGGTGTGATGGATGCTGAAAGTGTGGACTGGGTAGTGATTCTACAAAGAATGAAAAGCTGAGGATAGTCAGGTGGTTCAGAATAACTTTTAAAGATTAAGTTGTTAAAATATGAACAACGTTAACTCTACGAAAATTCCTTGGTATTGATAATAGTCGATCTTGCCATGGAGTGAAACATACTGTCAAAATGAGGTAATTTTAAGAAGTGATAGAATCTCTTCCACATTACTGATTCAATTGCTTTGATATTATTGAATCTTTGATATTATTAAATCAGTTAATAGGGTGCAAAAAGTTACTGTATCCCAAGAGTTCAGATTCTTTACAAAGGGATTAATACCAGTGCCACTTAGCAGAATCAGGCCTGTGCTTATTGCTAATATTAATATTTTAAAATATTTCATTAGATCCAAGCATTAAGGGCAGGAACCTAGGGTGAAATATCTCCATGGGCATAGAGTCAGCTCTACAGAAACTTCTGGATGCTTTCTGACTCAATTGTAGGGCTTGCTAGCTCTTTCTGTAGGCTTCAAGGGGTGCATAAGGCACTAGAAACATGTATTTAAGGGCCTTTGAATTCAGTTGTTTCAACTGAACTCAGGATATAGATCCGCCCTGCTAAATAGGAGATATTAGTCAGTTACTTAGATGATGTATGCAAAAAGCATAATTTGAAAGGGGAAGTTTTTTGGGTAGGGGATGGAGGTAGAAGTGAGTCAATTTATCTAGATCAACAGTTCAAGCTCATTATTCAGATCAGCAGTTAGATCCTGTTTCCCTAATCTGAACAGGTACTATCTGCACTAGTCTTCACTGATGTCTGTCTGTCTCTGTCTCTCTGTCACTCCCTGAAATTTTTAAAGACTAGCTCAGGTTTTGATGCTTTTCCTGTAATGATCACCAGCTGTTTCTGTTACACTAGAGTCATGCCGTCAGTGGTGTCTGTAATGGGCTGCTGGGAAATAACTTTAAAATCTGTGAATTAAAATGCCTTCCTCAAGAGCATATATAAACATGATATAGGAGTGAATTTTGGGGCTGATTCCTAAATGCCAAGGCAATGCAACCATTGCATGAACCAAAGTTTAAGTTTTAAACACCCTAAAGATTTGATTTTGCTTGTCTCCCAGCCCCAGTTACAAATCCTGTGGGACAGTCTGAGGCCTGAGCAATTTTAGGAAATAATCGATAAATTACTGTGGTCTCAAATGAACAGAAGACTATCAGTCAAATAGCAAAAGTTCTAACATATAAGTGGTGCTGGATCTCCCTGCACACTCAGAGATGCCCTGAGAGGTCCTACATTTGATATTTTAAACATTCCCCGCGGGAGCAAAAGAGCTCACACATATATATCACAGGCTTAAGTATACATATGTGTATACAGATCTATTGATAGGTAAATATATATTTAGGTAGAAATAGAGAACTGATGTTGTCTTATAAATAAGCATAGGCATTTATGGTACACAGAAAACAGAAGAAAGGTGAATGAAAACGTGAAACGTACCATATTCTGGGACCTGTCCCGTGCCTCGCTTCAGCAGCAGCCTCACCCTTCTTCCTCCAGATTTGATGAGTTCTATAGCTCTGGCATGTGTCATGTCCCTTGTGCTTTCTCCATTGATTTCAATGATTTGATCTCCTACCTGTTAATTAAAAACAATTAAGTCAGCCAAAGATGGTTTATCTCAAGTTGCATTTCCAACAGATTAAAAAAAAGCATCCCTAGATGACTGGTTTCTGACAGCATTTGAACAATTTGGATGCAGCCTGCTGCTTCTTAGAAGAGGCTAATCCCCAGCTGCATCCTGACCACAAAACTTCATCTACCTTTATAGAAATGAAAATATCAGACCATGGAGGTTGTGATGACATGTCACTTATAGTTAGCCAGTATAGTAGAGGCTGTGCACTACTTAGCCTTTAAAAAAAAAAAAAAAAGTCAGGGAATATGTATGATACCAGAATTCAAAATAACCTGGCACCTTTGCCTTGAATCAGGAAGTAGATATTTTAAGACCTTTTCACTGAACGTATTGCCAGCTTTTGGCTTAGTGCAGCATCTAATTCAGCATGTTGGATGGAATGATTGGTTTTCGTGCTTTTCTGAGAATTTCTGTTATGCATCATTAAAATTTCCCTGGGTACTACTGCTGTGTTGCCTCTTTGTAAACAGTGGTTGGTTGATATTCAAGTTTGATGATGAGTTTTCTGTCACAGCTCCTTGAATTAAAAGTGATATCCTCGATTCTCCATACACCACCAATGCTCTTGCTAAATCTTTGCCATGCTCACACCTGATTGCTAGAAGCTGGTTAAACACCAATCCCTCCTGAATTGTCATAAATGCTTGGGTTCCTTAAATAATTCCCATTTAGCCATTGTGAATAGATATTTGGAATAAAAGAGGTTCGAACAGGAGCATATCATGTAATTCCCACAGTACCATTACTGTCAGGAAACTTTGAATTAAAATATATTTCATTTCAGTGCAAGTAACTTAAGAGAAATTAGCCAGGAAAGCACAATAAGTTGCTTTGCAAAAATGCTATTTTAGTTGAATCCCTTCAACAAAGCAGATATCCATCCAAACTCTAAAATGCAGACAAAATTGCAGACAAACTCTCTACAGCCAATCGTGATTAAAGTGGATGCTGCCAGCTGGGCGAGAATGGGAACAAAAAGTTGCCATCACAATGAAAAGAGGGCATTAAGGCAAGACCCCCAAGGTGGGGGGGGGAGAGCAAACACATGTTTATTGACACTTCTACCTGAAGAGGACTCTGTAAGGGCTGAGGCTTCCAATGCAATGAAGGTAAAGTCCTTTGTGTGCTCAGTGACTTTCAGAAGTATGGTTTTTGGGCAGTGGAGGACTCACTGGCATGACTTCCACATTTCACAGAAGAACAAGGAAGACAGGACTTTGTTTTAGGGCCAACACCACTCTTCAAGTTTCCTTAATTATATTTTCTCCTACGAAGGCGATAGGCACAATCTGCAGTTGAGTAGCTTGTCAGAGGCCACGTATCTAAGCCAGTGGCAGAAATGGGACCAATTATCCCTCCCCCAGCAATCCTCACCCACTTGTAAAATCTCATGGCACTGTATTAAATTGTAGAAGTAAATTATATTAATTGTAGATGTAAAAGTTCCTACAGTGTTGCATATATAGAGTCCTCATTCCTACCTAGACTCTCTTCTGAGCTTCAGACTCACATACCCAATTGATTACCAAACATCTTCACCTGGGTGTCCAACAGCCAGTTCCAAATCAATAGCAGTAGACTGGGCTTATTACCATTCTCCCAAAGCAGTTTTTCCTCTTAATTTCTAATCCTGATTAATGGCATCACCATTCACTCAAGCCAGAAACTTGGGGGTCACACTGGACTCATTTCTTCAACTTCTCTGCATCTGTCCCGGTCCTCATATGTATCCCATTGCTAACTAGCTCCATTCAGGCCTTCACTCAGATCATTCCAATACTCTCCTGTCACTTTCCCTCCAATCTCTTCTTATTGTTACGAATCTCTTCTTATCTCTTCTTATTATTGTTATCCAATCTCTTCTTATTCTTCTAAGGAAAATCTGCCCAAATGCATCACGTTGACTGAGGCATCCAGGCCCTTCCATGTGCCACTGTTCTCTTTGCCTTCTCTCCATTGGCCTGGCGATCTCCTGATGTTTTCAAGGCCAGCCCAAGCATCTTCTCCTCTGGGGCACCTTCCTTGACCCTATCCTCTTCCCAAGCAGAGGTGTCCAGTCTCTCTGTTCATTAGTCACTGCACCCCTCTCTGTTATTTATCACACCTCAATGCAGATTTATGATTCTCTGTCTTCCCTCCTAGACTTTGAGTGTCTTCACTCAGTAAACAATTTATGAACATCTATTATGTGCCAGACAATCTACTGGGGTTGTAGAGATAAATGGCATAGTCTCTATCTACAATAAGTTCTTAGTCTAGTTGGGGAGAAAAATGGTAAATAAGACAATTACTATTCAATGCATCTTTGCTATGACAGAGGCATTCACAAAGCACTTAAGGAACAGAAAGGAGGTACATCTAACCCAGAATGGGTGGGTTGGGTAGTTAGAGAGAGCTGCCTAGAGCCGGTGACATCTCAACTGAGTTCTGAAGTATTAGCAGGAGTTCCATAGGTGAGGGAGGGGGAAAGCATTCTAGGCAGAGAGACAGCAGCATATATAAAGACCCCAAGAACTGAGGTATATTTGGGGAATTGCCAATAGTTTGCTATGCTACTCAGGAGTCTGGGCTTTATTTTGAAGGCTGCAGAAAGGCACTGAAAATTTTAAGCAGGAGGTACCTAGGTAGGGAAGCAGAGTGGTGTTTAGAAATCTTCCTGAGACATCAGTAAGGAGAGTGGACTGGAGAGAGAGGTGGGAGACTGAAGAAGGGGGCTGAGTTGTGGGGTTGTCATATTGTCTATCCAAGTGAGACATTAGGAGGCTGTGGGAAAGGAGATGATGGGACAAATGAAGATAGGGACTGGGTCCTCCTTAACTGTGTTACTGGCATGAGGTACACTATGTGTACTTGTGTTTATGAATGAATGAAACATTTCCACACTGGGTGTCTTGAGAACTGTGGGAAAAGGGGTTATAAGCACTCTCTACCCCCAAATCAAGTACTGCTGCCTGAGGACACTAGTGTCCTGAGACTGATGTTTCAACAAAAAGTCATGTGGAGGATGAGAGGGTGAAAAGCATCTTGTGCTGTGATAGAAAGAGTCACTCACATCTGGTACCATATTTGAGTACAGCAAGACTTAGAAAATTTGATGTTTTCATTCTCTTGTGTGTTTATCTTCCCTTTTTCCCTACAAAGAGCTTATGAGAATTAAGGGAGAAGAAAGTAGCATGGGAGAAAAGGGGGGATTTGAAAACTGCGGGAGGTGAGGAAGCAGCGGGGTTCAAGGGCTGCACATGGGCTGGGCCCATGTCCCCTGTGTGGGTTTTCAGGGATGGGGCTCTGGGAAGAGTCAGAGACCTTATTTTCACTGAGTTCCCAGGAACCTGGGCTGATCTCACTGCTTGGGAGATTTCCATAATTTCAACCTTCCATGTAGGGTCCCCTCAGAGGGAGAAGAGAGTAACTCTGACACAGGTCAAGTCGAGGGTCCTTAGCCCCTCATCTAAGGGCTTCCAATCTCTCCCAAGCCGCCCCTCCACGCCAGCATGCCAGTGCCGCCTGTTCTGCTGATTTTCTGCTTCACTGGGAGCAACAGTGGTTTGGGAATAGTCCAAGAACTTAACAAATTCAGAAAAAAACATTCTTGGGGGGTGGCGGTGGTGAGGTAATGTTAGGAAAATGCTTCTGCCAACATAGACTCTGGGCCCACTCATTTGGACCTAGTCTCCATGATGACACAGTCCAGACCCAGCCTTGAGACTCCTATCTCTTCTTGTAACAACAGAAATTGTAAAAATATTGCATTTTTGTTTTCATTCTTTTTTTAAAGTTTATTTTAAAAAATTTTAAATTTATCAATATACAATGTAGTTGATTTTTGTGTCCCTTTACTAATTCGTTTTCATTCCAATATCAGATAATCATTTTAACTGCAGCTCCCTAAATAAATGTGGGATGTGACTTCTTTCACTTTCATCCTCTTAGGATCTGGATGTAGAAGATGGATTTGTCTGGGGGAGAGGGGGTTCTCTCGTTACCTTCCGACCTCATCTGACTTCAGTGCAGTTGCCAGTGTGTGGCCACAGAGTGTCACTTTCCTACATCACAATAGGGGGAATTAATTTGATAAAACCAAGAGAAAACTTGCAGCTTTTTCAGAGATGAAGAAAAAGACCAGCTGTGACTCTAATGTAGTCTCTTTCTATTCTCTTTCCACTACACAGCTATCTTCAACTGAGTTACATTACAAAAATGAAGTTTTAAAGCTCCCTACTTGTTCTCAGAGAATTTCTGAAATATCAATTTCCAGTTGGAATTGAGAGAGAGATGGAGTGGGCAAGGAGGGGAAGGGGATGTGTGGAGAGAAAGACCCAAACCGATGGAGGTAGTTCAGGGGTGTGTGTGTGTGTGTGTGTGTGTGTGTGTGTGTGTGTGTGTGTGTGTGTTTGTTGCTTTGTGTGGGTCATAGAGATGTCAAATTTAGGAAACTGACCAAAGGACACTGACCAAAGGACTTAAGAGGAATTCTATGCATTCATTTTTTATTTTCCTATGGAAGAAATACTTTTATCTGTGGTCCCCTTGGGGCAATCAACAACCTTAAAGTGATGTCTTAGGGTCACCTGAGTGAGTTGATTGCCATCTCTGGGCACAGCCTAAGAAGTTCTGCATTTCTACCCATACGTTTCTGCTCATACATCAAGGCAGAATTTTCTTTAACAAAACCAATATCAAATCCTTGAGGGTGCTTGGGGCTCTGCAGATAAAAACCTTTTTCTTTTCCTATTGGAAGGCCAAGGCAGGTAATGGAAAACACCTCAGTGTTTCTTAAGTGGTTAATAGTTTAGGTTTAAGAAAAGATGTAAACCCTGTACTATATGCTTTTTTGCAGCCAAATTATATGAAAGTTATAAGAAAGTACTTGGTTTGGCTCAATGACGTCTTTTTAAGAAATAGATTAAATTCTGGATTTACTTAGCCCCGAGTCATGACAG